AGTGAGGGACAGACAGAGCCATCTGTCCTGAGCGTTGCGCGGTTCACATCCCACACCCCTCCAGCGGCCAACAGTTCCCTCCCACAGTCATCTGACCAGGGATGCAATGCCCTGCAGCTCCCGCGGCCCCTCGGGGCACCCTTCCAGTACCAGAGGCCCAGGCTTGAGTTCTCTCTGTGCAGCCACAGGACGAGGGTTTTGTCTCAGGAACTGAAACCTGGTCCATCAGCTCACCCGACGGCAACAACAGTGTGGGCAGCAAAAAGCTGTGCAAAGACCCCCATGTGCCTACGGCTGTTATGCCCCCTCCTGTCCGGCGGAAGCTCCTCTACCAGCAGCAGCCACCCCAGGGGTCACTCTGCCCTGAAGCAGGGCTGGGGCTTTGTCCAACCCCACTGCAGTCTTACTTTGCACCAGGTGCTTGGTCCCGCATCGCCTCATCCGCCACAACCACCCAGGCGGGAAACGTGCACTCAGACAGGCTTCACAACGTAGGTCGTGTAGAGTACTAAATAACTACATTTTCACCTGTTTCTATCTTCTACACCAAGAATGGTGAAATTAAAACTGGAAGAAGCCAAAGGTCCAGAGAGAGGAGGAGACAGGGAGCACAGAGCCATCTTAGATGAGTGACAGCACCCAGGTCATGAAGCAGCCATCAGGGAGCCACATGCTGGTCTTCATGACACCCTGGGGAGTGCAGGAAACGCCGAAAGGCTAAAGACAGTGAGCGTCTCCTGGCGGTCACGACAGGGAGTGCTGGTCACTCGCAGCATGTGGAGAGCTGCCATCCACAGGCTTCCTGTTGACTCCCCGGGAAATTCCCAAACTGATGGTCAAGCAGGTCCTGGCGAGCTCTTAGGCGCACCGCAGAACCATGCAGGCACGCACTCACAAAAGTTGTTTTCTACTTTACTGCTTATTGAACTAATAGATGAAACAAAACTGCAAAGAGTACTTGTAGGTGACAGAATGAGGATTCGGCAGGATTCTAAAATGTTGGAAAGAGAAAGAAAAGATCAGAATTGAATTGAACAGCAATACATGTAAATTCTTGTTTTGGGGTTGAAATGATTCTTTGCAAAAGCATTTCACCTGGCTTAACAGAAACTTACATTTAAAAATCCAGGTTTCATTTTAACTCACTGGCTTCCTGCTCAACATACAGCAACAGGCAAGCCAGCCGCCCAAACATGTCACTCGGACTGACACCCTTTACCAAGTCGGGAAGGTCAGAGTCCCAGGGCGCCAGGCCAGGCTGCCTCTGGAGTCCAGGGTGCCACGTACTAGGAGCGCGGACAACTTGAGAATGCTGTGGAGACCAGCAAATGCACCCACAGGAACAGCCTGGCAGGTGTCTGAGGCAGCCCGATTAAGACCAACAGATTTTTGTTTTAAATCGTAGTTTGTTAGGATTCTTTTGGTTAGAACCAGAAGAAGCTTAACTTTAACTTACTTAGCAAAAAGGGAAATTTTACTGCTTTGCTGGCTCAAGAAACCAGGAGTGACCAGAGGGTGGGCAGGAGGGGACAATGGGCAGACGTCCAAACCCAGAGACTCCATGCTCCCAGGCTGTTCGCGCTCTCCGCCTCCCTTCACGAGGGGCTTTGTTCCAGCTCAGTGTCATTAGCGTCTCCTGCGGACCGACGGTCTCCATGTGCTCCCACCCGTGGGTCAGAGGAGGGGGAAGCAGTGAGGGGGGAGGAGGCAATGGAGGGGGTGACAGGTGAGCCGCCCATTACGATTGGAGGCCCCCCGAACCAAGTGACTGGAGTGGAGAAGGAGCAGATCACTAAAGGAAAGAAAAGGAGGGGATGTTGTTTCCAGGGGATGGGTGAAGGGGTGCTAGGCAGACAAAAACAGATATCCCCTCACTTTCCAGGGGTGAATGGATAGACTCAACACCCACCCTAGATGCTACAATCACCCTTTATTTTAAATAAATACAGGAATGTGAAAATATTCACAAAGACGAATCTTGCTTTATGCTGCAGATTACTTTATAGTGGTCTGCACGGAACAGACAGCCCCCTGCGGCCTTCAGTGGGAGCCCTGCCAGCACCCTGATTTGGGACGTCCAGCCTCTAATGCGGTAAGAACAAATTTCCGTTGCTGAAGTCACCCAGTTCATAGCAATTTGTTAAAGCAGCTGTAGGGAACTAATACAGGTTCAAGTACAAGTCTTCCTGGGAACACGTCTTCATTTCTCTTGCATGAATACCCAGCAGTGGGATTGCTGGGGTGTACGGTATATCGATGTTCACAAGAAACAGCCAACCTCTTCTCCAAAGCAGCAGTAAATTTTACCTTCCAGCGAGCAACACACAGATCTGCTCTTTGTCGTCATCAACACTTGATAATATCTTGCTTTTCCATATGGCTTGAATTTGCATTTCTCTGATGACTACTGACATCAAGCATCTTTTCATGTGCTGATTGGCCATTTTTTGCAAAGTGTGTCTTTAAATATTTTGCCCATATTCTTAGGTATAATTTCTTTATTAGATGTATGCTTTGCATATATTTTATCTTGCTTGTCTGTTTTGTCTTGCTTGCTTTCTGTGATCTTAATGGTGTTAATTTGAAAAAGCAGAAGTTTTCATTTGGATAAAGTCCATTTCATCAGATTTTTATTTTATGGGTTGTGCTTGCTGTGTCCTAAGAAATCTGTGCATGACCAATGCCACAATGATCTTATTCTATCTTTTCTTCCACAAGTTTTATTGCTTTAGATTTAACAGTTAGGTCTGATTCATTTGGAGTTGATTTTTTTGTGTATCATGTAACTGTCGAAGTTCATTTTTTTCCTCATGGACATTTAGATGTTGAATCAAGTTAATTTAATACCTTTGTCAAAAATTAGTTGGCCACCTAGGTGTGCACCCGTGTTTCTGGAGTCGACATCTGCATCCATCAATCTGTATGTCTCGCCTTATACCAACACCACACTCTCTCAAACACTCCAACTTTATAGTAAATCCCAGATTCAGGCTGTTCAAGTCTTGTTAAGTCAACTTAACAATTGAAAAATGTGGTATTTTTCAAAATTGTATTGAAATGTATTTATTTATTTATTCATCTTTCAGTAAGTAATATAAGTGCCCAGAGGGACTTTTCAGTGGGAATTCATCTTTCTCCTGCCAATTCAACTCCCCAGAAAAAGCCACTTTTACAAGTTCCTTATTGCTTTCCTTTTCAGAAATTATAATTGATTTTTCAAAAATCAAGTCAGACTTTAAATTTACTATCTAAAGGAATGTTTTTTACAGACAAATTTAAAATGGGAAAAAGAATGCCCTCATTTTAGTTTCCGTATCAAACCACATTTCCAGGGGGTGTGCTTGCCCAAGCAGGGCCAGTCAATATTGGAAACACTCAACCTTTGCTAATGATGCACTTAATTTTATCTACCAAGAAAAGAGGAACAGGGACATTTGTGTGAATCGCCCACTCGCCTTAATTCTGTTAGTTATTTAAATATGCTGCTTATTTTTAGTTTAATTGCAGCATAATTACATAACACCAAGTAATCAGAGCTGAGTGATGCTAACAAATTGACTCTTAAAACAGTCTCAGGAGCCTAGTTAAGCACCATTTGAGGGTGTGATTCAGAGGTCACCCACCCCAAAGATCAAGATACTGCAAAACTACAACCATATAGATAGAATTCAATTCAGCAAAGATTCATGGGTTGTCATATGAGTGTAAAACCTTACACTAGGAAATGCAGGGAATACAGAGATGATAAATCAAACCCTGCCCGTGCCTTCTAAAGAGTCACTGTCCACAATGGGAGGCAGGCCCACGAATAAGTATTCGTGGTGCAAGGTAAAGTTCTAGAAGTTCCACTGCAGTCCTACATGAACGTGGAGGGAGGTGCCTTCTGGAAACGAGATGACGACTCCGCTTAAAATCTTCCCATTCAAATCAGTCAGACATTCTCAGTTTAGGGTGACATCTAAGAGGCACATAGTTCGCCAGACTTGTATTTTATTCTTAATATATTTCATTCTTACTAAGAGGAATTATTTTAACTCTGAATTGGGCCTGTGGTTCTTTGGGAAATAAGTATATAAAAAAAGAAGGCGGTGTTAGGACCCAAACTAATGACTAAGCTTACCCTGCCAGTCACATTTAACTACTCTTCTGGGAACACCCAACAAAAGTAATAAAGATTCCCTCTGTCCGGTAAAACAAAAAACCGATGGGTGACGTGCTTCCCTTAGAGGGAGAGAGGTGAGGAACAGCTACTGCCCAGCCCAGAGAACGTGAAAGAAAAGAAAATTTCTTGCTTCCTCTAAAACATGGCATTTCATCTAGATTTTCAGGAGACCATGCAAGGTCAAACACAAGAAATCCACCCCAGAACTCATGTGCCTGATTCAGGAGAAAACATATTATTGGTTGGGGGGAAAGTGTGCAGATTTATGGACTTTAATTGCCCAGAATTTCTTGTTGTTTGTATGTGCTACTAACACTCGATCATTGATATGTGAGTTATATTTTCCATTCAAACTTCTTACTTTTAGGGCTTTTACAACTTAGTGCTTTTCCCTTGGCTGAGACAGGAGAATGGGCATCATAAACAAGCTACTGCAGAAATGAGTGAGAAAGAGTTCAATGAGAGTGTCACAGGTGTCTGTGTGCATCTTTAATCACTGAATAATGCATCAAATGCCACAAATATCACAAAGGTCAGATCTGTGAAGCTAGATTCACTATTTCACAGACATGCTCACTGATTACATAAACAGAAAACTAGTGATGTGCAGCCAAAAGTGAGGCACACGGTTAAAGTCAGAAACCCCCCTCCTGGTGTTAGTGACCACAGACGGGCTACTATATCGTATCAGGTAAAAATGCCTCCAGCTGCAAGTAGCAGAAAACCCAACTAACGGCATTGAAATAAAGAGGGGTTTATCCCTCTCACATAGCAAAGGGGTCAAAAGACTGGTTGCAGCTCATGTGGGTCCAGCTGCAGAACCTGAGCTCAGCCTGTCTTGCCTCTCCACCATCTCTAGCATCCTTAGCATGTTGGCTTTTCATCTTTGCAATTACTCGTGGTCACAAAATGGCTACAGAAGCTCCAGGCATCTTATCTGCATCTAAGACGGGAAAAGAGAGGAGAAAGGTCACACCAGCCCAGATATCCCCTTTATCAGGGAAAGCAGAAAGGTTTCCTTTTCACAATAGCCAGTAGGACTAATATTTCTTTAGCTAGAAGGGGGTTACATTGCCACCCTCAGTGCAAATGCAGCTGGGAAAATGGGTGTGTGGCTCACTCTCTGTTGCAGGAAACAGAAACGATAGAGAAGGTCGAGAACGGCTGTAAAGTCAGCCAATCAATGGTTTCACCGCAGTATACGATCAAACCTTTACACTTTAGCCTTTAATTCTCGCAACACCAAAAACCAATGTCAGAGGGCACTGTGATTGTAATGAAATCAACATAAGGAGGTGTTTGCAGATGCCTGAACATGTAATAAACTGGACTGATTAGCTATGTGTTTGGCTTGGTTCGAAATTTAGCCCTTTCTCTCTGTAGAGATAACCTGGGGAGAGGCAGGCACCAGGGGCCTTGTTTGCTTTGCAGCTGGACATCAGAAAGCCAGAAATGATGAGCAGCTGTGCAGACAGACAGGTGAGCTTGCTCTCATCACTACAGCCCTGCTCTTTTTCAGAGGTTCACTTAAAGGACTGTAAGCCTTGGAAGCCTCTTGGTCCAAAATGAGGCAACTCCCAGCAAGTTCCTGCATTTCTTGTGTTCAAAGTACAATACATAAGCGAGTAGTCGGAACCGGGAGGAGACAGTGATTTCTGGGCTTGCAGACTTCTGTGGCTGACGGTTGTGGCATGCTTTTTAACGTTGTTTTGTTGTTTAATCCAGTCACTTGGAAATCACTACGAAAGGCACCGAGGGTGATGGGATTCATTTCCCACCATTCTGCACCTCCTGGGATCTTCAACTTAACAATACTCAACGTTTGCCATAGGCATGTTGGGCTAATCAAACAATGGACATAGCTATGAAAGATAAGTCATCTACGTGCTTTTGGCCTTTTATCTGGAACAGTAACTATGACTGAGGATGCAGAACATGTTAAAGACTAGAAAGAAAAACACAACAGAGACAAAACAGACTCAGTGGCACCAGAGGAGAAGCCAACCCATACGATGCCATTAAAACCTGGAGGTCAGACACGTGCATAAATAGATGCTAGACAGAGATATCCAGCTGCAAAGCAAACAAGGCCCCTGGCGCTCTGACTTACCCCAGGTTACCTTTATAGACAGACAGGGTCAAACTTCCAACTAAGCCAAATTAAAGAGCTAACCAGTCCAGTTCCTTATATATTCAGACACACTAGGATTTTTAATAGATAGATGAGTTGACAGACAGATGAGCAGACACGCAGATAGATAAACCTACAGACAGATAAATGGAGAGAAGAGAAGAAGGAAAGGAGAGAGGAGGAGAAACAAGAAAGACAGGAGAAAAAAACAAGGGAGAAAGAAAGAAAGAATCTGAACCTATGCCATGGTTTGGCCAGAAGACAGGACAAACAGCAAATACAATAATTTGGCCTTAGGAACGCAAACCTTAAAAATCCTAAGATGAGTATGTTTGGTTCCCCTTTATTTCTACTTCCCTCCAGGCTTAGTAAAACAACTGGGTATAAAAAGATTTTGAACTGCTCATGTAGTCCTTTTTATCATCACCCCTTAATCACTGACTTTACCCTGAGGATGGCTATAAGGGCAGAAAAGAAATGAGCAGTGTTCAAATCTCCAAGAAGTTCATGTTGGTCTCCCACAACAGAGATGAACACTACAACAGGAAAATGAGAAAAAGTATTATTTTAGCACCACTCAAATTTCCTTTTAGCTTAAGTGAGACCACAGTTGTAGTACAATTATTACTGTGTAAAATTATTGTTATGCCCAGGGGTGATTCTTTCCAAAGTAAGATCTCTGAGATACAGATCTACTGGACAATCTAAGCTTGTTATCCACCGGTGGGGTCTAATGACTAAAAAAGAAGTGCAATAACTAATAAAGTTGACAGGAAGACTGCAGCAAAGAGCATAAATACTAACTTGCTCCACCAGTCGGCCTTGCCAGGAACATTACATTCTGTTTGGTTTTTCATGCACCAGCACCGGAGTTATTATGACAGTAACTCTATGACGGTGGAGTAGAAAGAACACAAACTGTGGTGTCAGAAAGATCAAAGAAGGATCCGCCACACCCTATCTGTGACCTTGGGTAAATTGTTTAACTTCCTGTGCCTCAGTCTCTCCCTTTGAAACATGGAATGGTAACACTCATACCTCAGAGGGCAGTTGTGCTTAACGGAACTATGGACAACATATAAACTACCTGGCACACAGCACATAACAAAGAAATGGTGGATTTCTTTCCTACCAATGGAAGACACAGGATTCACCTGCCTTAGGAAGACCTTGTTCTTCAGGAGGGCATCTGAGTGGCAGCTCTGGAGCTGTGTGACACACAGCCTGCCTGGTCACACATCGTGTCTCNAGAATTCACCTGCCTTAGGAAGACCTTGTTCTTCAGGAGGGCATCTGAGTGGCAGCTCTGGAGCTGTGTGACACACAGCCTGCCTGGTCACACATCGTGTCTCTCTGCCCTGATCAGCTTCCTGGCAGTGACAATGCACTCCCTTTTACGGCTATAAGCCAGGGTTTGAAATTTTAGTATTACAGCTAAGTTTACTAATAGAGACCCAGAGGGGGTTCTTGGTGTGGGCGTCATGAACACCACACTACAACCCGGGAGTCAGGACACACCCTGCTGGCCAAATCAATAAAGTTTTATTGAAATACAGTTGCATTCCCTGATTTCCGTAGTGGCTATAGCAGCTCTCGCACTACAGCAGGAGAGATGATCAGCTGTGACTGAGACCGTAAGGCCCACAGGCCGAAAACATTTACTATCTGGCCCTTTACAGCAAATGTTTGCTGGGCCCTGTTCTAAGCAGCCAAACTACAACCATATTCATCTATTCGATTCAACTTACTTGTAGAGCGCTCTTACAGTCCCCGCATCATGATAAGCGTGGTGTCGTTTACAAATAAAGAGAACGTCAGTCCCTGAGGAGATGCTCCCGGTCCTACAAGAAGATGAGCAGCGAATCCTAAAGGCCCAACTTACATAAAGAGAGGCCACAGATAGGACACCAGGATGGGAGGCTCCAAGAGAGGCTGGAATCTCAAGAGGTCACCCACCAGAGTAACTGGGGAGGAATTAAAGTTTGCAGGGGGCTGGAAACAGCACAGAGGAATAGGAAATAAAGAAGGTTTCTGGGCAAGAGTGGAGGAAGAATAAAGTCACAAATGCAGGAAAGGGTGTGGTGCCCAGGAAAGAAATCAGCCCCGCTGCTGAGAACACGGGCCAGGGAGGAGGCAGGGGAGAGGTCCAAGTGCGGGTGTGCATTCCACTGGGAATGGCTGGAGAGAGATGGGTCAAAGGGGCCGGGCTGGAGTTGAAGCGGGGGGAGTTGTGTCAGGTCCCTGCACACATGGACCTTATGGTGAAAGTGTCTTAGAAGGAGAGAGATGAGAAATAAAACCCCAATCAGAGTTTTTAGCTAGAATGCAAGCATGATATAATGACAGAATCATTTGAGTAGAAGCTGAGTATAGATTAACTTTGTAAACCAAAGCTTGTTTGCTGGTTGACATGACATGTAATAGACTATAAAGGGTAGAGAAGATTCCAGAACTTCCTGTTGGGGAGCCTGGTAGAATAATGGGTGCCATCAATAGAAAGGGGAACCAACTGACCCCTGGCTAGGCATTTTTCTATTATCACAACCTGTTCTTCTCTGTACATCAGATGTTTGGCAAAATCTACCAGAATGGTTGCTTGGAGAAGCACATCCTTCCAGAAATCACTACAAATGACTTCCAGATTTCCCAAGAAATCTGGTTTCAGGACCAGCGCGATGTGGGTGGTGCGAGGCCAGCAGGGGAGTGGCGTGCCCATGCCCACACCCCGGAGCCCACAGGGCCACCCCGTCGCTGCGTTCCCTGAGCACACGGGGCCAAACCACAGCTCTGCACAGACAGAGACAAAGGGAGATCCCAGGGCCCTCGCTTCAGGCGTCCACGGCGCAGGCCAGGGCCCTCGCTGTTCTAAAAAGAAACCCTCGTCCGATGGGTCAAATCCACTTCAGATGATAAATCGCTACATTTATTTGCTCTCCAAGTAGACTTGTTCCAAAGATACCAAATCAAAGAGGGACATAACCAGTCATCTTCTGAATTTCACACCAAGGAAAGAAGAGCAGAGGCAAGTAGGTGGGCAACTGCGGAGGGCACCGCCTGAAGGGGCAGCTGGGCTTGAGGGAGGAGAACCGTGAGACCAGCAGCTGGCGGGCTTCTGTCCCCCTGTGGCATCCCAGGTGCTGGGCGTGGCATCCCGGGCACTGGGCGTGGCATCCCGGGTGCTGGGCGTGGCTTCCCAGCACTGGGCGTGGCCTCCCGGGTGCTGGGCGTGGCTTCCCTGGCTCTGGGCACTGCATCAGGTTGGCTATTACACAGCCCTCGCCCCAAGGTGGTGCAAGATGGAAGGCGAGAGATGCGACAGCTGCTATTCACGGCCCTACTTAGGGGCTTTGATTTCAGAACCTTGAGGTATTCATAGGCTTAGATTTGCGTTTGCTGAGAAAGGCTGTTGGGCATTAGAGCCCTCAGTCTAATGGACCCTTTGCTTAATTAATTTAACAAACAAAAGGCCACTCCAATCGGCCCTGCAATTTTCTTAGCAGCTGCTTGTGGAGCCACCAGCTTCTCGGGTTCTTTACTTCCTACCAGCAAAGCTAGGAGGGGGGATCTCAGATTCCTTCATTGGTCGGGAAGAGTTCGGGGAGAAAAACAGCCTCTTTGTAAAAGGCTCGTATGAAAAGGCACGAACAGATGAGTTAGAATCTGGGACCGGGCCCAGGCGGAGGTCTTGCCGGGAATTCCTAATACATTCTTTCTGTTATTAAAATAATATAGGGAATGGGGCGGCTGTTGCTTCTCTGCATGGAGCCCATCTGGCCCATGCTGTGTGACCATTTAAAATCTGACCTCAAGTG